CAGTAAAACCTGGAAGGAATTATCTGGACTGTCTTGGCAAATGGACAGCCATCAACCTCCACTTCTCTGTGGCAGAGGAATGACCTTGGTGTCAATGTGCAGGAGGGCAGCATATCCTTTCTGACAGGATCATGGTGTTAAAGAGGGCCCAACAGGCAGGGATGTCTCTTTATTTCAGATTGAGTCGGGCGAAGTGGGACCTTGTGTGCCTTCAAGGAGCTAGAAAGCTCACTTTATATCTCTGGAAGGCCCACTCCATTGACTGGGACAGAACCAAAGAGAGGAGGTAGCCTTCTGACAAAAATACTTGGTCAGGGACAGACACTGACTCTCTTGTTTGTTCCACACACATTTCCTGAGTACCTATTGGTGCCAGGCACAGTGCTAGGAGTTGAAAGGACCAAGATAAATTTGAAAACCGTTCTCTACTGGGGGGATAGGGGAGGGATAGCATTAGGAGAAATACCTAATATAGATGATGGGGTGATGCATGCAGCAAACCATCATGGCACATATATACCTACGTAACAAACCTGCATGTTCTACACATGTACCCCAGAACTTAAAGTATAATTTTAAAAAATCACTTAAAAAAAACCACCCTCTAATCACTTGAGCCCAGGAGTTTGAGGCTGCAGCAAGCTATGATTATGCCGCTGCACTCCAAACTGGACAACAAAGTGAGACCCTGTCTCTTAGAAAAAGAAAAAAGAAGGAAAAACCCTCTGGGAGATTATCTTCCACTTGGAGAAGAGCAACATGCATAAAAACAATGACAGTTCCGTGGTGAAGAAAGAGAAAGGTGATAAAATGTGTAACAGGTACAGAGTTAGCATGGTGGTAGGGGCAGTGGGGGGAACGAGAAGGTAAGTATTCCAGGGAGAAAATCTTGAAGGCAGATCACCAGGGTGACAAGGGTGAGGAGGGCGTTTCGGGTGGTCATGACTGCATTTGCAGAAGCAGCATGCTACGCTTGAGGAGTGGGATGAAATGCTGTCTAGGTAACTATGGAGTAGGAGGCAGTAAAGCTGGAGAGGGGGCGGGAGCCAAAGGTGGAACCCGTTTGCCTTATCTCCAGTTTAATGATAAATTCCAACAAGCCTGTACACCACATTCTCAACTTGTTAAATCCTTCAGCAGCAATTATTACTCACTCTGTGGCCTCCATTAAATGCTTATTGATGAGAAGCCTTTCCCAATAGCAAAAGTCTCCCTCACTTACTCTGTCTCACTAGATATTATTAGATGATAAAGGCAGATGGGACACTTCTATGGCATGCGTCTTGCCTTGGGTCTGATGAGATTTGCACTCACCCGAGAGCCAGTGTATTGTCCTGGTGGATTCCTGGAGTGAGTCCATTTTAACCCTATCACTGTATTTCTCTGGGTTTGGCTTGGGAGGGTACTTAATTGAAGCAAATTGGAGTATACAAATGGTACAGGTGCACCGATCCTATTACTGATCCTGGAAATGTGCACTCAGTGTGTCCTTCAGCCTGAGATGTGGCCCAGACAGAGCACAGTCACCATTAGAACAGTGTGGCTCAGCATGCCCACAGCAAAAAAAGAAAAAGAAAGAGAGGCACTTAATAAAGGTCATTTATTCTCCTTCTCAGCCTCACACTTCAGTGCTGTTGATGCCACCATTCAAACAAATGTTCTAATTTATAGTTTCTGGGAACTTTTGGAAAAATGGATGAGAGCCCCAGGTTACCTGAGATGCTACAATTACATGTTTTAACAGTTCTAACAATGTATATTTTGTCGAAATGAAATAGGATTTTGAAAGACTTTATGATAGTTGTAAAAAAAACAGTTAGCCCCCTTTTCAGATACAGTCCTCACGAGGCTGCTCTTGTGAATAGCTTGGCACACTTTGCAAATAACTCGTTAAACCACCCAACCTCCCTGGGAAGAAGCTAGCAGCAGTTTGTTGACTGCTTTCTTCCCACACGGTAGGGGGTATTCCTGCTGCCTTAAAGGAAGTATGGAGAGACCAAGGCCCGCGTAGGCTGAGAGTTTTCATCTTCATACTGTAGCTCAGAGTACATGCAGAACAACTCTGTGTACAGTAGGAGATGCATTGGGCCTTCTCGCCAGCAGGAGGCTGGTCTGCCCCCCAGCCAGCCAGTGCCCTGTCTCCGTCTTCACTGAGCCCCACTCTGGGCCAGGCTCTGTGCTTTGAGCTGAAATCCAAAGATGGAGAAAACACCACTTCCCCTCCTAAAGTGTTTACTGATCAGTGAATAGGAGAGACTCATAAGCAGGGTTGTTTTTTTTTAATAGAATGTGGCATGTGATTTATTAAAGGTAAGTCAGAGAAGCTAGATGTCAGAGAAGCTGTCTCTGCAGCCTTCTACCCTCCCAGCTCCCAGACACTTGTACCCTAACTCTGTGGCAGCCACAGTGGATTAGTTAATCCAGTTTCCAATATCCTTTCCCTCACTGCTCTCACTGGAGAGGCTGTCAAGCTAAATATATGCCTTTTTAGCCTCTGTTGTAGCTACAGTGGCCATGTAACCTAGTCTTGCCAATGAGACAGGAGCAAAATCTACAGGAGGTTCTTAAAATACTCTTGTGTTATTGATTAACAGGAATAGCTAATCCAGTACAGCTCCCTGCTCCTCCCCCTTACCTTGATTGAGGTTATGATGGCTATAGCTGTAACAGCAAGCTTGTGACCATGAGGGAAAAACTGAACTGCAGGTAATCTAATGTCATTAGGTACCTACTTCCAGACTTCTTGTCGTGTTAGAAACAAGTGAACCTCCCTTTGTTTAGACCACTGAGGTTAGGCTTCTGGTATTTGCAGCCAGTATATCCCTAACTGATATAGGTACCTAGCAGGTAATTGATAGTGATTGAAGTCATAAGTAATGTGATTACATAAATTGGGTCTTAACAGATTGGGATGTGCTAGGGGCTTTTCTGGTTGGAGGAAACCAAAATAGCCTATACAGAAGGTTGAAGCAGGAAACCATGAAGGTCTCACAAAGAAGCCCTAACAGGCAGTTCATTCTCACTAGAATATAAAGTAGGAAGCTTGATGAAAGCCTAGAGAAGCAGATAACATGGGCCAAGTTAAAAGTTTCCCTTAGATACAAATAGGGTTCCAGGTTCCTGTGACTGAGCACTCCACATGCTGTTCCCAGAACTGCAGGATTACAGCTAAGAGCATCGTCGCAAGATGAGCAATAAAGGCAGCAAATGCGTTCCTCCTGTTGGCTGCTGTATTATCTATTACTGCAAAACCAATTACACCAAAATGTAGCAGCTTAAATCAACACATTTATTTATTATTTTTATTTAGTATATCACAGTTTCCATGGGTCATGAATCCAGATATAATTTAAGTTCTAAAGCTTATCTTATAAAGCTTCAATCAGGGTGTTCACAGGGCTGCAGTCACTCTGAAAACTTAACTGGGGAAAGATCACGCCCACACTCATGCACATCGTTGTTGGCAGGTCCAGTTCCTCACTGGCTGTTGGCCACCAGAGGTCTCTCTCACTCCCTGGGCCCATGGGCATCTCCATGGGGCAGCTCACAACCTGCCAGCTGGCTGCATCATGGTGAGCAAGTGAGAAAGCAAAAGAAGTGAGCAAGAGGGAAGCCAGAGGCCTTTCATAACCTTATCTCAGAAGTGGTAACCACTACTGCTGTATTCTGTTTGTTGGAAGCAAGTTTCAGCCCGTACTTAAGGGGTGAGATTACCAGTGAATTCTAGAAGGATCCTTGGGAGCCATCTGAAACACTGCCTACCGCAGACACACTGTCATCTCCTTTCTCCTCCTCCATTAGAGTCAGCAGCAGCAGCAGCGCCTTTCTCACCATTGTCGTCATCATCCACACAGTCACAGTGATAGTTTATTAAATGCTTCTTATGTACCAGGCACTTTTCCATATGTAACTAATCTATCCTCACTACAACCTTGTACGAGTAAGTAACATTATCTCCATCTTGCAGATTAGGAAACTGAGGCTCAGAAAGGGTCTGCAGTTTGTCCTAGGTCTCATAGCCAGTGAGAGGCAGTCTAGGGGTCAACCAAGTCCCACCTCGAGGAGGCAACATCTCAGAGGCAATAAAGCCATGTCTGCCAGCCTGCCCTGGAGTCCAGGCTGTTTTCTTCTTACCTTTAACCTCAACAGAGTGAGGCCAGATGGTGTGCTGCACCCTCTCAAAATGCTTGGGCCCCAGATAAAGAACAATAGGTGAAATCAGAATACAGTCTGCACATTAGGTAATAGTCCGGTAACAGTGTTGGTTTCCTGATTTCACTCATCATTCTGCAGTTATGTAAGAAGGTGTCTTCATTCTTAGAAAACACATACTGAAGCATTTAGAGGTAAAGGGAATTTCTGTCTATGATTTGTTCTTAAACATTTCAGAAAAAACATATATACAGATATGTATGTGTGTCGAAAGAGTGAATGATAAAGCAAGTGTGGTAAAATGTTAACACTGGGAAATCTGGATAAAGAGTATAAAAAATTTTGTACAAATTTTGCAACCGTTTTTCAATAAGTCTGAAATTGTTTCAAAACAAAAAGTGTTTTAAAAGAGCTGATCTACTCTTGGACCTTGTGAGATCTATTAGGACTACCAGAGATGACACTGTGGGGGTTTTATAGCCCTCCTTCTGACCCCAGGGTGATCTGTCAGAGCCCAGGGAGGATATAGAGGTTCAGAACAGAACACGGGTTCTGGGATCAGGCTGCCTGGGTTCCAGTCCCGGCCCAGTAGCTTCTACGGTCCCTGAGCTATATGAGTAACCACTCAGGGTTGTTAAAAAGGACTTGGCAAGAGAAGGATATATCTTGGCATAGCACTTGGCATACTTCATGGCCCATGGCAAACTCTCCTTAAATGTTGTTTTTATGGCCTCCTCAGTCATCTTACAAGTGAGAAGTAATGGTCTGTGTGTGGTTTAAAGAAACTGGTCTGGATAATTGTCTCAGTGATAACTCCCTGACATGAGCTTTTGTCTCCATAAAAGCAGGGTGGCCACTGCAACTGATGTGGATGTGCCTGACAAGATGAAGAGCCCAATCCCTGTGGTGCTTCTGGCCTGTGGCTCCTTTAACCCCATCACCAACATGCACCTGCGCTTGTTTGAGGTGGCCAGAGATCACCTACATCAAACAGGTCAGTCAGGGGGCCCTGAGCCCAACAGAAGAACTGGTGGGTTAGGCTTCGTGGGGCTTTTCTGGCTGCTGGCATCACTGTTATTAAAACAGCTCAGTTTATTTATTCACAGCATAACTGGTGGCATATTTTTTTCATCATATTCAGAGGGCGGATGCTTCATGGTCTTATGACACGTGTACAAGTCATACCCCTTTCCACGGAGCTGAACACATCTCAAGGTCTCCCCTCCCTATCCACCTCACATTGGCAATGAATAACAACAGGCCCTCTATAGAACCTGTGCCAAAATAAGGGCATCCTCCCTGGTACTCCCAACATTTGCCTATACAGCCAGATGAATAGGTAGCATGTACCTTAGAAAGGTCCTGATACTCTTCAGAGGATAAGCAAATGCTTGATAATGGGCATTTTGACATTTTCTTGAAAGAAGAGATCCTAGATTATTGCAAATTAATAATCTTATACATGGGGCATTTCCAATACAGATGGCATGACTTTGCCAGAAATATTTAATCAGCTGGAAATATATAGTCTGAGGATGTTTAATCTCCTTGACTTTCTATTTCATTATCAAAGGAGTAAAGTGACATTTGTAATCTGCACGATTGTTTCTAAGGAATATATGTATATGTTGCTATCAGATATATATGAAATTATTTACTTGTATATTTGTGAATGTCTTATATATTCATATATGTATTTTGTGTTTCTATATTGTTTGAAAAAGTTTGCCTTTAAGGACATTGTTTTTATACCAAAATCAATTCCTATTTACTTTTAATATAGCAAAAAGTATTTGAGTAACATAGAAATCATTTCTTCAAAGAAATCATGTACAAGTATTAGTTTATTTTAAAGGAAATGCCTTTATTTTAAAAACATGTTTTGAAAGTGAGTGTCTATCCTTGACAAATAAATAGCTTAGTAAATAATAGGAATTTAAAAATATTCAAACAATTTATTAAAACTAATTGGTAGATATTAGTAGGCAGTATATCAAAGAAGAAGTATAAATGGCCAACAAATTTAGGGAAAGGTGCTTAAAATCACAATAACCAAATAAAGTTCAAATAAGAATGTGATAAACTACACAAGCTGATAAGACACCATGAGGGTATCTCCTATGGCTGCTGGAATACCGCAGAATTGTAACCATGTGCCACTGGGCTTATAGTTAGTGCTCAAAAAAAAATCTGCTATAGGAGTAAATAGTTTTAGCCTATGAGACTGGCAAAGATTAAAGACTGACAAAATTCAGTGCTGGCAGAATAAAGAAGCACTGGTAGTAATAGGACTGTACTGGTAGGAATAGAATAAACGATAAAACATTTTTGAGGACAATTTGGCGTTCTGTGACAAAAAAATTTAAAGTCTGTACCCACACTCCTAATGAAGAGAAAAATTAACCAATGGAAACCAAACTAGATTTGATGCAGATGTTAGAATTAGCCGACAAAGGCTTGAAAAGTTATTATAATTATATGCTCTATGTTCAAGTTAAGTAAATATATGGAAAATATAAAAAGGACCCAGATCAAACATCTAGAATTAAAGACTACAATCTGTGAAATGAAAAATATACTGGAAAGATTTAACAACAGATTAGATATTACAGAAGGAAAGATTAGTGAACTTGAAGATGAGGGGACTGTCTAAAATAAAATACAGGAAGAAAAGGAATTTTAAAAAGGAAAGAATAGCAGTGAGATATGGAAGAACTTGAAGCAGCTTAATATACTTGGAATTGGAATCCTAGAAGGAGAAAACAAAGAACTGGAAAAAGTATTTGAAGAAATAATGACTGAAATTTCTCCAAATTTGGTGAAAACCCACAGATCCAAGTATCTGAACAAACTCCAAATACAAGAAACATTAAGAAAACACAGATATATAATAATCAAATCTCTCAAAACCAGTAATAGTCAAAAGCAGCCACAGAACAAAAATAAAGATGGCAACAGATATCTTGTTACTGAATTTACCAAAAGAGAATTCAGTGTAATAAAACTGTTAAAGAGCTGAAAGAAAATACTGTCAACCTAGAACTCTATATCCATTCCATTCTGGCAAAAATATCTTTCAAAAACAAAAGCAAAGTAAAGGCATTTTCAGATATTTGAAAGCTGAAAGAACTCACCACCAGCAAACTTGCACTACACGAAGTGCTAAATTCCTTCAGACAGAAGGAAAACAATACCAAAGGGAAGCATGGACCAACACAGAGGAATACAGAGCACTGAAAATGGTAACCACATGAGGCAATTAAGTAAGGTTTCTTATTGATTAATTTTCTTTAAAAGGCAATTCACAGTTTAAACAAAAATAACAATACATTGTGGGATTTATAACATACGTAGAAGTAAAATATATGATAACAATAGAATAAAGGCTGAGAGGGTGAAATGGAAGTATATGTAAAGTGGTATAACATCACTTAGAGATAGACTGTGATAAGTTAAAGATATGCTTTAAGCTCTAATGCAATTGCTAAAATGAAGTGGTTATACTTAATAAGTATACAAAAGAAATAGAATCAGAATATACTCAGTTAATTCAAAATAAGAAAAAGAGGAAATGGGAAACAAAAAACATATGAGACAAATAGAAAACAGTATGATGGCAGTTTGGTCCCTGTCCAAAAATTCTTCCTCAAACATCCTAAGATATTTAGTAAATGTACTANTAAGAGATTTAAACCTAACTATATCAATAATCACATTAAATATAAATAGTCTAACAAATTCTGCAAAGAGACAGACTGCCAGATTCAATAAAATTAAGCAAGACCCAGCTATAAAAAACAAGCATACTTTAAATAGAGAAACCCAGATAGGTTAAAAGTAAAAGAACAGAAAACTGTCCCGTGCTAACACTAATTAAAAGAAAGCTGGAGTGACTATAGTAGTATCAGAGAAAGTAGATTTCAGAGGAATGAATATTACCAGGGATAAATAAGATTATTTCATAATCATAAGGGGTTAATTCTTTAAGCAGAAGTAATACTAACACTTTTTTTTAGTAATAGAATTTCAAAATACATAAAAAGCAAAAACCATAAAATTACAAGGAGAAAGAGACAAACCCACAATTATAGCCAGCTATTTTAATGCTCTTCTCAGTAATTAATAGAATAAGCACACAGAAAATTAATAAAAGACTTGAACAACACTATTAAACAATTTGACCTAATTGACATTTATAGACCACTGCATCCTACATCACAGAATATACATTCTTCCCAAGGGCACACAGAACATTTACCAAAATAGGCCATGTTCTGAACCATAAAAGAAGTCTCAGTGGATATAAAAGGTCTAAAGTAATACAAAGTGTATTCTCTGACCATGGTGGAATAACATTAGAAATCAATAACAGAAAGGTCTCCAAATATGGAAATAAAATAACATACTTCTAAAAACTCATGGGTCATAAAAGAAATCAAAATGGAAATTAGAAAACATTTTGAACTGAATGAAAGTGAAAACAATATATAAAAAATTTTAGGATGCCACTGAAGTAGTACTTAAGGAGAGCTTTATAGCATGAGATATTATAGTAGGAAAAAAATGGTCTCAAACCAATGATTTCAACTTTCACCTTGATAAACAGAGGAATAGACAAAACACAAAATAAGCAGAAGAAAGGAAATACAATAATGCACCATACTATGACATTTCAGCAAGTAACAGACCGTGTGTGTGTACAATAGTGGTCTCATAACATTGTAATGGAGTTGAAAAATTCCTATTGACTAGTGACATTACAGCATCATAGTGCAAGGCATTACTCATGTTTGTGGTGATACTGGTGTAAACAAACCTACTGCATGACTAATCATATAAAAGTCTAAAAAGCCTAGCACATACAATTACATACAGTACATAGTACTTGATAATGGTAATAAATGACTAAGTTACTGGTTTATGTATTTACTTTTATACTTATTTTAGAGTGTGTTTCTTCTTGCACAAAAAAAAAGAAAAAAAAAAAAAAAAAAAAGGTAACTGTAAAACAGCCTCAGGCAGGTCCTTCAGAAAGAATTCCAGAGGAAGGCATTGTTATCAGAGATGACAGCTCCATGCATGTTTCTGCCCCTGCAGACCTAGTGGGACAAGATATGGAGGTAGGAAACAGTGATATTGATGATCCTAATCCTGTGTAGGCCTAGGCTAAAAGTGTGTTTGTATCTTAATTCTTAACAAAACTTAAAAAGTAAAAATTTTTAAACAACACATATAGAATAAGGATATAAAGAAAAATATTTGTGTACATCTGTACAATATCTTTGTGTTTTAAGCTAAGTATAATTACAAAAGTATCCAAAAGTTTAAAAAATTGACAAGTTTATAAAGTAAAAAAGTTACAGTAAGCTAAAGTTAATGTATTATTGAAGAAAGAAAAATCCTTTTAAAAATGTAGTATAGTTTAAATAAACAGTGATGATAAAGCCTATAGGAGTCTACAGTAATATTGTAGTCCTTCACATTTACTCATGCCCTGGCTCACCCAGAGCAACTTCCAGTCCTGCAGGCTCCATTCATGGTAAGTGCCCTCTAAAGGTGCAGTGTTTATCTTTTATACCATATTTTTCCTGCACCTTTTCTTTGTTTAGATATGTTTAGAACATTTCTCAAAAAATATATACAAATGACTAGCAGGTATATGAAAAACTGCTAAACATTACTAATCATCAGAGAAATGCAAAACAAAACCAACATGAAATATCATATTATCCCAGTTAGAATGGCTATTATTAAAATAACAAAAAATAATCAATGTTGGTGAGGATGCAGAGAAACGGGAACTCTTATAAACTATTGGTGAGAATGTAAACTAGAATAGCCATTGCGGAAAATAGTATGGAGATTTCTCAAAACACTGAAAATATAATCACTATTTAATTCAGCAATCCCACTATAAGGTATCTACCCAAAGGAAAAGAAATCAATATATCAAAGGGATACCAGAACTCACCTGTTTATTACACTCTATTCACA